GCATGTTCGTATGAACCCTTCGTACGAACAAATGTAAGAGAAATTTATGATAAGAATACGAACATGTTCCTGCATGAGGCCCATTGTTTCTATTTTTATTTTTTATTTTTGCTTCAACTATAAATCTAAAGTAAACTAAGTAAAAATATTACTCCTACTTTCAGTGTTGGGTTGTTTGCCATGGAGCTATTCTAAGAAATTTAACCAAACGACTAATTTTAAAATGAAAAATTCCACTTTCCCTTGCGATGCCATTTGATACTCAGCAAAAATTTTCTTTCCAAGAGCTCTCAGTTCCTCTGCAGTCCTGTGGAATCTGCTTTGTGGAATGTCAGTCACAGAGACTTTGGAGATGAGATGGTTGTCAGCTGCTGGTCAGAACAGATTTGATCGGGGTTGTGTTGATTCTCTTCAAAAATGTAAAACTTGTTCCGCATCGACTTTTAACCAATTTTCGTCTGCTTTGCTAAAACGATTTGCCCAAGTCAAGTGTGAGTTTAAAAAACAAAAAAGTTTTACTCACCCAAAAATCCTTTTTGCTCCTACACTTTTACATTTTATTATTTTAATTTTGGTTTTCAACAGATATGATCCGAGTTTTTCTAGAGAAAACTTAAATTCTTAATTTCTGCAGTTCATCGCTTTCTCTGTTACTGTTTTTTTTAATGTGGCGATGGGCACCAATTTCCTTAATTTTGGGAGATTGGAGGATAGTTCGATAAAGTCGGTGGAAAAGATTGACTTCTCATCGACCTCAAGAAAGGTCTGAAAATCAGCCACTGTCCCCTTATGCTGTGAGCGCTACCTAATGTCCAGTTCAAACAAGTTTGAATTGTTTCAACGGTATTGTTCAACGAGTTTCGGTAAAATAAGATTGGAACATTGAAGGTGTATTGTGACCTTCTAACACCTGACAGTGTCAGTTATTTAATGTATCGGCCAAAATCGGAATTGTCAGGTCAGATTTTTTAAAGATCGGTGATCAGCCAGAGAACTGCAATCGGTGCACCCCTACTTCACATTCCTACCTCTTTTCCAAGGTATCTGAATATGTTGGCAGAGCACAGTTTGTGGATGATGACACATTTTAAGACATTAACCATAAAAGTAAAAAAGTAATGGGCAGATAACACTGCCTTGTTATGTACTGTTTCTGGCAGTGTACAGAGCTGATCGTTCAGTTCCAATCCATACTTGATTTTGTTCCTTCTTAAAACAAATAAAAATAACCCAGTTAGAATCTCTCAWAAACTTTTATCTATACAACCTAATTCCACCCCTCCTGTATATATCTGTATCTGTAGCTTCTAAATTTAAAGGGGACCTATCATGCAAAATTCACTTTTTAAAGTTTTTTTTAACTCAACTTTGGGTATGTACTTCTTAAAAAAACAGTCCTAGGACCAAAAAAAAATGCACCCAGGGGCATATTTACTGTATGTAAATGTATTTTTAATGTATATAACAACAAGTTTTATACTTCCGTTATTTTGTGATGTCACAAGCTGTACGACAACCCACCGGAACCTGCATTCAGCCCCTTACCTAGCAACCCCCGGGTGAGACTCCACCTCCTCAGTATAAAAAGCCATCACGTTGTTGTTGTGTATTGCGCAGCTCATTTCACAACAAGTCTCCAATAGGGGAATGGGTAGAGTGTTGGACCAGAGAGTGGGAGACCAGGGTTTGAAACGGGCATGGACACAACTTAATTATTTATTTATTTTCGTTCGTTATGAACACATTTTCTCATGTAGCTCTGTTGTTTAGCTTATTAAAGCCTTGTTAAAGATGATTTGTTCGAGTTACTGAGGTATTTTGACCGCTGCTGCTCCCTGCTCTGGTAACAGCATGCAGAGTGAGCGCAGAGCAGAGGAGGCGGAGAAAGAAAAAAAGAAGCTGCGACCACGACTCTGCCTCTGGGTCTCATATGGTTGTACAACGGAGCTTCTGCTATTATTAGCCATGCTAACGTAAACRCTGGCTTTGGAGGGCGGAGTTAATGTCAACAGATTTTTGGAGGGCGTTACCAACAGAGCTCATTAACATAAACAGCTCTTCTGAAYGGAAGTCAGAGCAGGCAGAACTAGAAAGCGGGAAATTTTATTATCTGAGAATTATTTTGTGCATTAAATTGAATGAACATGGTCTGGATAGCCCACAGACATRCCATAAAAATTTCTAGGACCCATAATTGGTCTCCTTTAAATGGATCCTTGCCAGGTTTTCTTTTTGGGATAACATCTGCTTCTTACTGCACACTTGGTAAGCTTCTCTGTATCCACACTATTTTATTTAAAAAATTGAATAACTTCAGGAGTTTTGATTCTTTTGCATAGAATAATCATCATCACCATGTTGTGGAGAAATGAAAAGAAATTTCATTTAATTTTGTATGGTAAACTATACAATCCTGAATGACAATAAAGTTGAAGGAGAATCAGGCTGTGGAGCTAAAGTCTTATCAGATCGAGCTGCTGGTTCAAAGGTTGATTCAGCGATACATGAAGCCTTGTGTTGCTGAGGCATTGTGTGTCTGTGTGTGTGATTGTGTTCAAGTGATGTTGAATGCTAATACGAAGCTGTAACAGACGATCATGCTATGCTAGCTGTTCCAACCCCTGATTGCTGCAGGGGCGTGTCTGAGAGAGAAGCTTTTATATCTGAACACTGCAGCTGTGAGGAAACCGTTGAGAAGACACGTCACCGTGGAGAGCTGTTAACCAATATGATGAGCCTGCAGTACCACTGCTCTACCCATATGAGCAGCAAAAACACGTTTTTAGACCAAGTATTACAGATTTCAACAAATATGTACAAAATCGTTAAAATTAGCACAGAAACAGTACTATAACATTTTAGACATATTCTAGACAGTTTATCAGCTAAAAAAAGTTAATTTTGGGGTAAGTTACACTTTAAATTGAATTGATTGAAACTTGCTCTTCTCTCATAGAGGTTGGCTTATCTTTACTAAAAGCTCTCACCAAAGGAAATGTTTCCTTTATTGTATTCTTTCTTTGTTCCTTCTTATTTTCCACACCTGGAAACAGGTTCACTGTTGTGATTACAGTCTTGTCTTCCTTTAACTGGATATTCAAAATTTATTCAATCTCCTCTTATCCAGTTTTTGTTCTTTATCACTAATGTGTGTTATTCTAGAGGCTTTGTTGCAAAATCCTTTCCAGTTGGCTTTTTTTACTTTGATGCAATCCTGACTACAGATTGTGTTCTATTTTTGTTGTTGTTGTTCTTGTTTTGAATCAAGTGTTACCTGTTATGGGTTTCTTTAACAGCCTGAATGCTCCTTCTTTGTTTGAACAGCCTGGTGACGCTCTTCCATCCATCACGGCACCATTTGCTGTGTCATTCTATTTTTACTCTTAGGTACTGCGCTCTCAGCAGTTCAACAACACAACTATTCACCTCATCTATATCAATAAAAAAAATCTTTCCTTGCCATTACACCATCATGTAACMCCCCCCCCCCCCCCCTATTCAYATCCTGACCACTGGTTTAAATCTTGTCCAGGGAGGTGATTTTTGTTTGTTTTTTGAGGAACCATCACAAGCAGCGATCACCTAAGAAGTGATTAACAGGGTCATATTGAATGTGGGAAGTAGCTTATGAAATTTGTTTTTATAATGTTATCTGAGAAGGGTGATTAATTTATAACTGTGCTCATGATACACAGACCCCTCGGGACTTTCCTCTTTTGAAACCTGAATCATCTGGAAGAGTCATTTTACTTTGGAGAGCTCATGCAGCCTGAGCTCCGAGGTGTGTGTGGCAGACATTAAAACAAAGTTTTGCAAACCCCAAATAGTTATTTTTCACATATATATATAAATGTATAATTTTTTACATTTAAAAACTGAAAATTAAAAATACCATTGAGCTGCATATTGGCGCCAACAACTGAGT